ATCCACTGAATTCTCAACCCAAACTAGATACACAAATTCTACATTTGGACGTTATCACCTCGATAATGCACAGGATCAACAAAATTTGTTATGTGTAATTGTTGAAGAATGTAAGTGTGAGAATAAAGATGATGAGCAAAAATTAGTGTATATCTTTCACTTTTCTTGTTCTATGTATGTACAATAATGAGACAAATAAACACATATGATGACAAGCCCCAATAACTAACATAACAACATTTTGAAACACAACAGGTCAGAAAATTAGTTTAAATCAGCGAGAGGTCGACCTAAGCACTATGTGGTTCGACCTGAGCACACCTGAATGCAAAACTACACAAAAAATCAAGCGGTGCATCGACCATAATAGAGTCATGCGTCGACGCAAGGTTACCTCACAAAAACAAATTTTTATTCATTCAATATGAGTCGACCTATGGGTTGACGCGTGTAGACCCGAGGGCAATCAATTGTTTAATCAACATGCATGCGTCGACCTCCACATGACTGTGAGTCGACGCAAGGACTTTATTATGCCAAAAACAAGTTTCTTGTGAGTATTTTTGTCGACCTAAACTATTTTTATGTTGACCTAAGGTATCTAACATGATCAAGTGCACAAATATCATATGTGAGATGCTCATATATGCATAGACACATGAATATGGAATATTTTGTGCATATTAAATAGTGAATACAATCTAAGACGCGATGATACCGTCCAAAGTACAAGTACAAGCTAATACAAGTTTGACATCATTAAAATAAGGACTAAGGAACCTTGCCCTCACACCATTAACTCTTGGTTTTTAAGTATGCTTGTATCTCCTAGGGTTTAAGATTAATTTTGTACTTAACATACCCATGCTTCTCTTCTTGTGTGTATGTTGATTCCCTTTTAGGGTTAAGTATTGTTTTCACCATATTCATTGTGATTTTTGTCTTTCATGTTCATGTTTGTATGCGATGGTTTATGTCTGGTGATGTTCATCTTGTTTTCAAGTATTTCGTTCATAAACTTCCACAATGTTAAACATGTCTTTTGTTTCTTGCGATGTTATGTAAACCTTTGTCATGCCTTGTTCATGCTCACCATGTCTAAAATCATGTTAATGTTTTGTTCATGATGTTTGTCAATTCATGTTTATGTGATCATTCATTTTATCTATTTCCAAGGGATGGGCTTGTTGTTGATACCTTTGTCATTTGCATTTGCATATTTGCATCATTCTTGTATATCTACCTCTCTTGTAATCCTAGAACTTGCTATCCCTTAGGAAGTCTCCCTTAGGATTACCTTCGACTTAGACACCCAATTAGGGTTTCCCATTTTCAACTCAAAACCACTTTCATAAAAAAACTTTGACCTTAGGTTATTGACTTTTCAACTCTTTTCTTAACAAACGCTTCAATATATCTTAAGGATATTTAAAACTTCTTTCACAAGACTAAAAAATACAAACTTAGTTCAAACCTTTTTCCATTTTGACTTTTTAAACTTTAAAACCTTTTCAAGATAGACTAGACACTAGTCACCCTTAGTTGAGATATAAATCTCCCACCCCATGACAATGTTGAGAAAGACGGTGATTCTTTGCCACTTGAGAGAGGTATATGACATACTTGTTGATTCTATATCTAAGTTGAAACCTTTCTCTTAATGTGAAGCAAAGATCCATCTTCCACGTGTTTGTGGTGGTTTAGATGAGTATTTTCCTTAAGATGACAACTTGTCTTTTCTTTATCCACCATAATAAACACTTTTCAATTTGTACTTCAAACTACGAGTTTTTTTATCTTTTATTGGCAAGTAGGCACAAGACCTCGTGTCTTGCCAAACACAAAAACAATAAAAAACATTTCTCTTCTTATCTCCTCAATCAATCCCAACTAGAAAACACCTTATAACACAAACTCAACAAGAGGTTCCTATAGAGTACTATAGATACTTATGGTGCTAATACCTTTCCTTAGTATAACCAACCCCAAACCTTAGATTCTATATATTGCATTGTTTTACATTACATATTTATGGGTTATTCTTTCTTTATCCCTTCCCTTTGATAAATTAAAGATCGGTGGTGATATCTTAAAATTTATGAAGCCTAACTAACTCAATAGCTATAGTTTCCGATTCTCACCGCGACATCCCCGCGCATATTTTCTTTGTCCATCTTCGACATAAGAACTGACTCTAAGTCATTACTCATCTGCCTTGAAGCAACAACTTAGGGGGCTCCTGTTTTGGACTGGGTCGGGGCTGACCCACTGTCGGGCATAACCTAGTCCAACTCTGCATCGAAGAAGACCCAACGAAAATACCCAATCCACTATAGCCATTGGAGAGCACATTCCCCACGTGCTCCTCACCCGAGGACACGTGTCCAACTGATTGTCGCGAAAATATTTTGCCATTCGTAGAAAGCAAGTATTCCACTCCAAAGAATGTAGGGCAATTGTCCCAGGATGATGAGCACGAGTTGCTCATCCCTACTTCTACTTAGGGATCTTGACAGTCATCAATTATGGGTTTAATCATCCAGTGCTTAATGGAGACCGTTGGCCCAATGCTAAGGGTTCTATAAATACCCTCACATGTTGGAGGGTCATGTATTCAATTCACTTCTTAACTTCTGTACTTGCATTCTGTTACTTTGAAACGACTTTAGCATCAGAGTGCCTTGCAGGTACACCCCTTTGTTTTTCTCACCTGACGTTGTAGACCACGAGTGTTGTTGGCCACCGATTCACTTCTGATCACCGATAAGATCACATAGAGAGAAAGGAAGTTGGAATTCGAGGAAAGTGATTGGGAAACAAAGATTTATACTTCGGATGAATGATATTTGAACTTCTAACAGAAGAAATATATACTTCAAAATGAGCATAAATTAGATTTCAATTCCCATAGATGACACTAACGTTCAGTGGCAAAACCTAAATTGATTGATATCGCAGATACATATTCTGCTGCGATGGTTTTGGGCTTCCTATACGGTGGAGATGAAGCCAACTTGCAATGTTAACACTTCAACGCTCAAGGTAGTAAGAGAGTAAAAGTGACACGTAAATGAAATTAAAGTTGAATACATGAAAAATGACACATTTTGTCCCTTAAATAGGAGAAACGATTGATAACTAAAAGCGTGAAATGAGGTGTAAATCACAACCAACCGTCAAATTGATTTAAACGGTCAACAAAGCTTTTGTATGCGAAATTAAGAAAATAAATTATACTTATTACATGCCTTACTTCTTTCGCGTTAATATTAGGCATTTATCTATAGACATTGTAAACGTCCCATAACACAATCAACGTTTGAAATTTTTTAAAGTAATACAAAAATATTCAACGTAACACAAATTAATCGAATACAATAATAAAATGATGAAGTAAACATTGTATAATTTACTATTCATTAGACTATATTAATATATAATTTAACATAAAAATCTTGAATATAACATAAAAGATAAATTTATAAAGAGGGGTAATTTAATATATTATTTTTGGTTGATTTTCAATACATTATTTTTACTTATGTGCGTCAAATGAACGGTCTAAAACCGATATAAAATAACTTTAATGAGTAAAGTTTTTTCATGAATGAATGAATTTTTTTATTTATGAAATTCGATCTATAATTTAAAGACTTAAACCTTATCATTGACTACTTATTACACTTAAAATTTATATTTATTTATATTTTTAGTATTAAAATAATTTCATATAAAAATACTTATATTATACGAGTAAACATATCATCAATCATGCGGACATTAAAAATGTAACTTTTATCATTGTTTTATGATGCGAAATAGGTTCTATTGAGTCAAAGCTAGGGCTGGAAATGAGTCGAGTCGAGTCGAACTCACCTCAGCTCGGCTCGACTCATTAAGAATTTTTCGAGTTCGAGTTCGAGTTCGAGTTCAACACGAACTTTTTTTTAAGCTCAAACTCGACTCGTTATGAATTGTTTCGAGTTCGAGTTCGAGTTCGAGTTCAACACGAACTTTTTTTTAAGTTCAAACTCGACTTGTTATAAGTTCACGAACAGTTTGGTTCAACTCATTAGGATCAGCTCACATGATTCACGGGCTTAAAAACTATTTTTTTTAATATATATATATTTTAGTATATTTGACATTTTAAATAAATATATATTTTTTAAAATAAAATATTAAAATAAAATAAAAATTATCATATTGAAATTTAACTTTATCTTCGAAATCTACTAATTCAAAACTTACACAACTTTCAAGAGATACATTTGAGAGTCTAATTCAAAAACTACTAAGTTGAAGATTAAATTTGTCTAAGATTTAGATTAAATATTTAAACCTAATCTTAAAGACAGTATAATTATTCTCATATGTAATCGAGTTAACTCATGAACCTAACGAGTCGAACTATGTAGAGTTCAAGTTCAGCTCATTTAGTTAACGAACTTAATTTTTCGCTCATACTCAACTCATTAGGTTCATGAACCTAGTTCAACGATCTAATTGTCGAATCGAATTTCGAACTATTTTCGAGTTGGTTCGGTTCATTGCCAGCCCTAGTCAAAGCTTATAGGAGAAACATGAGAATGATTGCTGCATATAATGCATTTTTATTTTAGGGTTGTTTTTTTTCTCTGACATAGTGTACTTTTATTTTAGATATTGAAGCCCAAGTTATTAAAAAGTTCAACCAAAAAAACACTTCAAAAGGTAGCGGGAACAAGCGGTGGGAACAAACTCCAAAATCTAAAAAAAAAAGAGCGCGAGCAGTTTTCAATTCAAGAAAAACGTCACTGTTGCGAAGCGCCAATATTATCAAATCCATTATTCCCCGCGCCTATACTCTTTCTCAAAACTAAATCTCAGCCGTCCACGTCATCCCACAAAACACCATAAGAAAAGAAATCAACCATCAATTCCAATTCCTCACGTTTTCCAAAATCACCCAAAACCCTGATTGCACCACTCAATTCTCAAAGCACACAGAAGAAAGGATAATGGAGGATTCTGGAAAATCCATCAACAACATTGCAAGTAAAAGCAGTAATAAGCTATTGAATCCATGGATGCTTCACTTTCAGAAACTCGCTCTCGAACTCAAATGCCCTCTCTGGTTCGCGTTTTTGTTTTTATTTTTATTTATTTTTGTTATTTAGGGTTTTCAGTGGCTGATTTGAGATTTTGTTTGATTTGGTGACGAATATTGTAGCTTGAGCTTGTTCAAGCAACCGGTTTTGCTTCCATGCAATCACTTGCTCTGCAGGTTCGTTTCTTCTTCTATACGATTCTCTGTTAATATTTCTAGGTTTTTCAGTCGAGTTTATTTGTTTTTTTGTTATCTTTCATTATTGGCAGTTCCTGCGTGGCGGATAGTTCAATGATTGGTTCTGAATGTGCTCTCTGTAACACCAAATACGCTCAAATAGGTAACTTAATATCCAAATACACTTATCTTGTTAATTTAGATTCACGTTTTAAGAGAGTGCTGTTTGTATTTTACAGTGCTTGTGTTTTGTTTTTCTCTTCCGATTTAGTTTATGATTTGTAGGATTTGTTTAACTGCTTGTGCTGAGTTGCACTCTCTAATGTGTTGATTTTTGGTGGTAGATTTGAGGAATGTGCCTTTTGTGGAAAACATGGTGACTATTTATAAAAACATGAATGCGACCTTTTGTGCTAATGCATTTCAGCAACGTTCTTCTGGTGAGTTGCTTTCTCATTTGCTTTCAACATGAAACATGGTGACTAGTTTATTGTTTGATGGTATTTGACATGTTTGTTTCTAATGTAAATTGGTTAATGTAGATGATAGGATGGTTTTGGAGCGGTGCCAAACTCTTGACAATTCAACTTGTAGTAATAAGAATACTGACAAGGTCCTGCTGAATTCATGTATGTCAAATGAGGTTGGGGATGCTAATTGCATTGCAGAGAAAAGTAATTCAATGAGATGTTCTCAGAAAGAAATTGGGGATCGTGTTGAACTGGATTTAAATCAAGTGACAGAATCGGCACCAGACAGCCCTCCATTTTGTGATACCAAAGGTTCTGATAACTGCTGTAGTTATCAAGACAGTGAACAGGTAGGACTTATTATATGTTACATACTATTATGGTCTTGATTATTTAAGTAGTTAAATTGAACTTCCTATATTTAGTAGGCCAAGTCCTCTTTCAGTTTGGCACCTTATTCTCTTTAATTTTTTATTTCAGCCACTCAATGTTGTGAAATCTGAATATTCATCATTAAAAAGTGAAACTAAAGGAAAAAGTGATTTGAAAGAAAGAATGGCACAGTTCAGGTCTGAAAGTTCTGCCTCTGAAAATGAGGGTCTTGTCAGAGGTATGAAGAAACAAAAAAATCTCACCAATGGAGATGCTATTATTCAACAAAGCACCTCATATCATTCTAAGCTTGTCGATTCCCGCCATGTCTCAGACCTTAAATCTGAAAAGGACCCCAGTGTAATCATACCTTCAAATCCACCAAATGACTTGTGTCCAAGTACAAACATGTGCTCTTTTTGCCAGTCCTTTAATATTTCAGAGGTGAGATATCATGTGCATCAATTTCCTACACTTAATTGGTGCCTTATGCCAGCCCTTTTTCAATGAAAGTTATCTTATTCTCATATTTCCCACTTTTCAATTTTGTGAAATTATTTTCCTGATTTTCAAGTAAATTTTTGTAGGCTACTGGGCCTATGCTGCATTATGATGAAGGAATTTTAGTTACAGGAGATGCTGCAATGCAACCAAATGTTGTGCACGTGCATAAAGTTTGTATTGACTGGTACACTAGCCTGCTATTCTGTGTATGCATAAATTATTATGATGGATTCTTGGATGTATGTTTAAGGTGGAATTGTTCTAAAACTAGATGTTAAATCCCTATTGGTCATAGATTGTTAAAATATTTCTTAACATGCATTAGTATTTGGCTGATATATTTTTTTTTGAACTTTGGAAAAACAGGGCTCCACAAGTGTACTTTGTTGGTGAAACTGTTAAGAATTTGAAAAAAGAAGTGGCCAGGGGAGCAAAGCTTAAATGCACCCAATGCAGTCTAAAGGGAGCTGCTCTTGGTTGCTTTGTCAAATCATGTAAAAGAACTTATCATGTCCCTTGTGCAATCAACATCTCTACCTGCCGCTGGGATCATGTACTACTTTCTTCAATTACTAGTGTTTTCTGGGGCTTTTTTCCAAAACAGTATTTGTTTAGAGTTTCTATGTATTTTTTTAAACCTTGTTCATTTCTCTTGTTCAGGTGGATTATCTCTTGCTGTGTCCATCTCATTCAAATGTCAAATTTCCAAGTGAGAATTCCAGTCATAAGAAAAAGTCAACTCAGAAGCATCCTGTTTCATCTCAACTGTATGGTTTTTTTTTTTTTTTTGAAATAATCTTGTATTTATGTTTGATATCATGGTATATATATAATGGCATGCACTGCTTATTCCCCAACATTTGTTAAATATATAATTTGTTTATTTACTTTCAACAATTGATATTTGAATATTAGAGCAAGACCTAGAGGACATTAAATAATACTTTGTTATGTATACAGCAGTTCATCTCCCAAACCAGATAATATTGAATGATTTAGTGTTTGTTTAGAACGTGTCACTGAGATAATGATGTTAAGAGAGAAAATAGAAGTTGAGAGAATTTGAAACTATACTTTTGAGAAACATCATGTACAGTAGGAAGAACCATGTTTTAAAGCCTACAATGACTCCTTGAGTTTGTTGATTCTGTTGCTAAAATTATAAACTAGTTTGATTAAGATTTGATGCAGTTATGTGATGGTAGCAGCAAATGAGGTTTGAAAGTGAATTTCAGAACATAACCAGTCACTTGTATGGTAGACACATAACCAGTCTTTTGTATAGTAGACACAAGTGCAGATGCTCATATATCCAGTCTCTGATCCAATGCGGGCCTAAGGTGTACTCTATTTACCAGATATGCAAGGGAAATACAATCGATAGAATCTGTTACTCATTTTGAGACATATCATAACACTTAAGTGCAGATGGTCATAACTCCAGTCTCTGATCATATATGGGCCTGAGGCCTTCTTAACATAGAACAAGAGAAATGCAAGTAATACAATAGGTGCCTGGACACTGGATTTAGAAAATGCTCATGATAAAAGGGTCAATTTCTAGTGAACTGCCGTCACATTTTATCACTGAGTGCATATTGTCACTGGGTCCAATCTGCAATTCAGTTAGGGCGGAAGGCCTATTGTAATAAACTTAAAAGAAATGCAAGTAAAACAAAATGATAAATATGCTCTAATAGCTCCCTCAAATATTTATTATAATTGAGTGAATTTCAGGGTTAAATTCGTTGCAAATTTCATTACCATAATAATATATGTATGTAAGGAAGCTGTTAATTTGCTATGATGAACATACTCTTTTTCTCTTGTTTTAACACTGTTTCTAAGGTTTTATATATATTCACTGTTGCTGTAGGCCATTTCTACAGCCCAACAGCCTGTTGGGAGGTTTAAAGAATAGTGGTGAAAAAATGGTTTTTTGTGGATCTGCCCTATCAAATGAAGAAAAGGTTAGTATGAATGTTGTCTTCTGTCTGTGATTAAGTCTTTCATTACCTTCATTATCATAATTGTTTCTCTGTTAGACCAAATTGTATAAGAAGGGTGATGTTCATGGCTGTATAGCAGCATCATAAACTTCTGATATGGTGGTTAGCAAAAGGGGTAGTCAGTTTTAGGAATGATAATGTGTTCATAGGAGAGTGAAGGTGAGGTATGAAGAGATTCAGGGGAATATTGGCGGGTAAGCTTCTCTCTTAAGGGGCTTATGTGTTGTTTGACCTGCCCTTTTCTTTACTTTTCTTCTACTTTAAAGAAGGCCAAACAATATTTACGTAAGCCCCTTAAGGGGCAAACTAAATTAAAGTTCTGAATAAACAACAAAAATTGTATTTTAAAATGTGTTTGAATAAACTTATAAGAAAACATTTATTGTATAACTAAACTAATTAATATATTTCCTTTTGGTGGTGCAGGTCCTTTTGATTAATTTTGCAAGCAAGGTTGGGGCTACAGTGACCAAGTGTTGGACCTTAAATGTCACCCATGTGATTGCAGCAACGGATGCAAATGGGGCATGCTCAAGGACAATGAAAGTTTTGAGGGCAATTCTAAATGGACAATGGATCCTTAAAGTAGACTGTATGTAATTTAGGCTTCTGACTTTGTTTTCTTGATTTGATGCTCATTTTAGTTTGATTATTGACAATCATTAATGAATTACTTAGGGATAAGAGCATGCATGGATGAGACTATTCTTGTTAATGAAGAATGTTATGAAATTGATCTTGATAATCAAGGGTGCCGTGGTGGCCCAAAAGCTGGCAGACTTATGGCACTGGCCAAGGTAAATATTCTTTCACTGCATTTTATGATCTTGCAAGTTCATAAAATGTCATTTATAGTCAAAGAATATCAAGCATCTTGATCAAGGTTTTGAAATATGGTTTTGTTGTGATATTTGATTGAGAAAAAATTTGGACAAATGAGAATGGGGCTAATGGAATTGCATTTCTGTTTTAATGTGGTTACAAATATTACATAAATTTTGTTGCAATTTCAGTTGCAAACTTTAAGATCACCTTTCTCTTTAGCTTCACTAGTGACTTTAAAATGTAGTTTATTTTTGCCTCCACATGTCTGTAGATGTTCATTTGTTAAATTATGTGGTATTTGTCTTGAATTCTATGTTCTGACTGCTTGTAGGAGCCAAAGATATTCTGTGGCTTAAAGTTTTATTTTTCTGGTGACTACGATTTGAGTTTTAAGAAATATCTTGAAGATTTAGTTGAGGTGGGAGAAGGTGCTGTTTTGAAAAGCAAAGATGAATTGGAAGTTAGAATAGATGCAAAAGTGCTGGTTGTTTACAATATTGATCCTCCACAAGGATGTAAGCTGGGGGAGGAAGTTTCAATTCTTTGGCAGAGACTAAGTGAAGCAGAGGATCTAGCTGCCAATACTGGTTACCAAGTCATTGGTCACACTTGGATTTTGGAGTCAATTGCTGCATGTAAACTGCAGCCTTTTGTTAGTTAAAATGTATTTTATAGTAGATATTTTGTCCATCTTTTATTAGGGTGTTTATTTTGCAAAAGATCTCTGATCAATTTTGTATAAGATGTCTACGTGATTTATATCTTGTTCGGGTGTTTAAGATATTGAGGGATGCTATGTAACACTAATGGGTAATGAAATTCATATGGAATAAATTAAATTGTGGGTTTTTCTTATTATTTCAGTGGAGTGTTGCCAAATTTGTTCAAAAGAGTTTGCGAGTCTAAGGAAGGTACTGAAAAAGACATATTTAGCTTTATGATAGGATTGAAATTGACAAGGCCAAATTGAAAAAAAATGTTTCAGCAAAAAGCTCTTTATTTTTTGAAAGGCTAATCATATTTATTATTTCTATTAATTTGTGACAGAATTTAAAGCTCTAAAGCAAATCTTTCATTTATAAAGCAACTTGCCCACTTGATTTTTTTAAACATACATATGAAGAAATAACCATATTTTCCTAGTACTTGGCATCTGGTTGCGAAGTGCCAATGTCCTGAGATGAATTAGCGTTCATCTCTAAGGTTGGCCTGGTGTATTTTACATCATTATACACAAAGTACTTGGCAACAATCAGAAAGCAAATGAAGTTTAATATGCTTATCACTGCAATGAGTGCATAATAATAATCTAAATGGGAGACATTAACGTTATCTAAAATCCAACCTTGGCGACCATGTCTTTGGGTGATATCTGCAACAGTCGATAGAAAGAAGGTACTGAGAAAACCTCCCAGACCATAAGAGGCTGTGGCACATGCTGTTCCGAGGCTCTTCATGCTTTCTGGTGCCTGATCATAGAAGAACTCCAACTTGGCAATTTCGACAAAGTTATCACCAATCCCTGACAAGGCAAACTGTGGGAGAAGGATGAAAATAGTAAGAGGTATTGTATCCTGTATACCTAAGATGTTATTTTCTCTTGCAACCCTGAGCCTCTTTCTCTCAATTAAGCATGCAATGACTAATATAATGATGTACAACACAAGGCCAATTCCTATTCTTTGCAGTATTGTGATTCCTCTAGGATTTTTAGTGTAGCGTCGGATGAAAGGCACAAAAATCCGATCGTAGATTGGAATCCATATCAATGTGAATAGAATGTTAATTGATACAAGACTTCCTGGAGATATATTAAAATGATGTCCCACTCTCTTGTCTAGAGTCATGCCTTGTTTAACAAAGAGTGTGAATAGGTGCATTCCTAATGTGCTTGGAATAATTGTGAAAATCGAAATAGGAATCAATTTTGCCATTTGCTTAGTTTCCTCAATTTGTGTCACTGTACAAAGCATCCATGGTGAACTTTGTCCAGTCTTTGTAGCCCCTTTGTCAAGGAAACTGCAAACAGAGAAAAGGGGGACACATACACATCAAATAGGTGTTATCAACATATATTTTGTGTCTAACACTCTACTTTTATTGGTTGAAATTCATATAAATATTGTGTTGCCCCCACACCAAGAAACATGGTGAAATATTTAAGAGATTAAAAGTAAGTGAAACTCAACCTGAAGAAAGATGTGTGAGGAATTCTGCTTCTACCATTACATGCATACTCTTCCATACTCAGCTCATGTAGCTCATTTGTATCTTCTGGGACACACACCTTCCATTTTCTCACAGCAGCCACAAATACTTGAAGCATCCTTGTCATAGGGCTCCCCTGGGGCAATCTGTGTCTATAATATGGTGTTCCTAATAGAAACACCAATATTGAAAACGCGAGTCCAATGGTTGGAAGGCCGTAACCGAGGGTCCAACCTTTATTATCTTGTATGTAAACCAAGAAAGTAGTAGAGAACAAGACTCCAATCAAAATGCTAAAATACCACCAATTGAAAAAGGAAAACTTATGAGATTTCTCTTTAGCATCAAACTCATCAAATTGGTCTGCTCCCATCGTAGAAATGTTGGGTTTGGTTCCGCCCGTGCCTAAAACAATGATATACAAGGCAAGGAAGAAAACACCCTTTTGCAACGGAGATGCCTTGGGGCAGTTTTCAAACGCAACACCTTTGTCACATTCTGGCGGCCTCAGCGATGGTAGTGAAACTGATAGAGTCAACAAACACATTCCCATGAGATAAATGCACGACGCAATTACAAAGGTCAAATATCGACCAAGATAAGCATCAGCTACGTAAGCTCCTGCAAGCGGCATCAACCACACAGATCCTCCCCAATTGCTAATATTGTTCGAAGATTCCACAGTACCCTGATGAAGCTTATTCGTTAAATACACCACTAAGTTCGTTGATATTCCATAGTAAGCCATCCTCTCAAACAATTCATACCCTATAAGTTACACATGCAACACACATACGTCACATAATCACATTCTTATAGCTTATATAACACAATAAAAGACTTCATTTTTACCTACAAGGAATGAACAAGCTTTCCATCTTCCCGTCTTCGATCTTAAAACAGGCCTACATTGTAAATCTACCGTGCCATCTTGAGTGTAATCTTCTAGTGGCCCTTTTTCTTCACTGACTTCCATGATACTGAACAAGAACAACAACTTGAGCTCTTCAGTGTGTAGAACCTTACAAGGTTGTTACCTGCTAACTTTTGATGTATTTAAGGAAGTTTGGTTTTATATATTTTACACATTCCATTTTGCATGAGCTAACATGATGCAGAAATCCAAAGGCAAAAAACTAGTTTCTGCTTCTGCATGTCATTTTTATTTTTTTAATATTTTTTTTTATAGTTTTCATCAATTTTAAATTAGCATGTTAGCCGGTTTACCTTCTCGACCAAGCTAAAAGATCTTTGAAATTGACATGGTACAAAAATTATGAGATCACAGAAATGAATACATTAAAATGGCTTTTCAACCTTACCATATAAATATTTATAAATGTATTTTAAGAATTAGCATAATAAAGTATATCATAGATGATTTGATTGAATGCAATGTAAATTTTTTTTGTTTATCAAAATGTAGAATCTCTTGATATGTATATTAATCTTGTATCTCAATAGGTGAGGCCTAGGTTGTCTTGTCATGTGAAAAATATGGGTAAGTTGTGTCCTATGACACATGTATTCTAATAATAAGTTACTTAAAATATATTAATTTAATTTTTTGAATATATATTTTATCTTATTTATATTTTTAACCATATTGACATTTAATACTGTTTTGAATTTTCAAGAGCAATGATTCCTTTTTCTTTATTTTTTATATAATTTAATTAGTTTATATATTTATATTTTTTTTGTTATTTTCTCCCTTATTTGATTTTTTTTTCTATGTTACCTTGAGAAAAAGATGACAACTTACCCATACGAGATGAAATCAATTATAAAGAGTCATGTGTATTTATTAATCTTATAACACTAAGGTATATTATTATATTTTATTATAGATATTTTATTTTATTTTCACATTTGACCTTATACTTAATTACAATTTATCTTTTAAAAAAGGTCTGTTCACCCTCACTTCTCTTTCTTTTTTTTTTATCATTTATTTTCACTTTATTTTTTATCTCATTTTCATTTTGCTTATAACACATTTCTTTTCTACAAATTTTTCTGCAAATTATATAACAACATTAATAATAACCAAATGGACGAATGAAATGAAATTTTTTAACAACTAACGGTGAGGACTCACTTAACACCATTTTAAAAGTTAGAGGATCACCTTGCCACTTTTTAAACGTTTAGATAGTAATATTATTAAACGTTTAGATAGTAATATTGTTAAAATAATTATGGAGAAATGAAAAAGATATGTTACATTAAAAATAATAATAACCGTTTAGATAGTAATATTATTAATATTTAGTGGAATTGTAATAGTTTGCTGAAATTAATATAATAATCAATAATAAGTCATTAATAAAATAATAATAAAATTACGTCCATTTATTTAAGCCCTCTCTAGGGCTGAAAATGAGTTGAATCGTACTTGATTCAGTTTGGTTCGATTCGTTAAGAATTGATTCAATTTAAATATTGGTTCGAGTTCGTCACGAAATTCTTTTTGAATTCAAACTCGGACTCGTTATAAGTTCACGAACAATTCAGTCAATCTCGTTATTCTCATTCTTTTTTATTTTTCCTTTCACTTTTACTCTCTTCATTGCAAAGTAATCGACGCACAACAATCTTGTTCTCATGATTATCTTTGCTTACGGCAAACCCATGAAAACGTGCATACATTGTGTAAAATTGTATAGCCTCTTCCTTTGTATTAAATTCCATAGCTCTTACATCATCATGTGTAATTTCACTTTAACATTTAATACCATTGCAATTCTCTTTCTCTTATGTATCTCTATCGGTACCATTACCATTAGTGTTGTCACCGGTGAATTCTTCTACTTCTCTATCACTATTGAAATACAAAATTTCTTCACTATAAGTAGACATTTAAAATTAAACTTTCCTGAAACAAAAGACAAATACAAACCATTATTTGAGACATATATCATAATAACAATACTCATTACACGTCTAAAATTAAGCATTATTCAATATCATATAATTCACATTAAATAAAATATTGTAAAACAATAATAATTTGTCAAACAATTTGTGTATGTGGCTCACCGTAAATTTCAAGGTTTTCTAATTACTTATATATTACACTCAATTTTGCTTCCTTATTCTAGTTATTTTTTTACTATTGTTTTATATTCTATCATATTTATTTGTCTAATTTTTTAACACCTCTAAAAAAATTTAATACTTCCCAAGCATTGCAAAAGGATAAAATTAAATTTTATTTATTTGACTTTTTTCTATTAGTTTAATTTATAAACTTTTTTTCATTTGTTTTATTGTTTTAATTCTTGAATTTTCTTTCATCTTCATAACTTTTGAATTTTTTTCACCCTTTATTTGTGTTTATTGTGAAACTTTCAATTTAATTTATTTTATTTAAAGTAATGCAAACTCAAGTTTTAAATTAGAAAATTTAAAATAAATAAAAAAGTTGAAATTTTAATTAATTATAAAACTGAATTTTAGATTAATTTAAAAATACAAATAAAAATAAATAATTTAAAAATAATTGTTCAACAAATAAAAAAAGTTAACAATGAGAAGTTAACATTATAAACATAGTCAAAAATGAAATAGAGATTTATTATTAGAAGAAGTCAAAGATGCATAAGAAGTTTAAAAAGATAAATAATGATAAAATTTTAAATAATAATTTATCAATAACTTTTTTGATAATATAAATACCAATTAAAATATATAAGATTCAACAATAAAATATAAAATTTTAAATAGTGCATATAGTATAATAATATTTTTCTATTAATCGTATCAGCAGAATTAAAAGATATTAAAAAATAGAATTTTTTTTTGAATATTTTAATTACGTGAATGTACCTTTTATTCAAAATCTTTTGAATTAATGCACTAATTATTCTAAATATTTTATTTTATTTTTGAATTTATTTTAAATGTTTTATTCGATATAAATGCACAAATGAATTTTTTTAATATTTCTCTACAGTAATGGTATATTTTGAATTGTTATTTAAAATATTATTTTTAATTAATATATTGATTCTATGTTTATTTGATTATTTAAAAAAAATTAAATGATAAATTGTTGCAAGTTAATAATTTTTTTAGCCAAATGAACGAATGAAATAAAAATTATTTATTCTTAATTCACAGTGTCACATTTCTAAGAATTAGTTTACAATCAAATCAATAATATTGTAAACTTAGTTTTAGTAATCATAATATTATAAAATTTTATTTAATTATAATTTATTTTAAATATCAAAATGCAATAATTATTTTTAAACAGCAATAAATTATCACTTTTAATTCACATTGTTCTCTAAATTAATTTTAATATCTTACTCCATAATAATGATATATTTTAAACACTTAATTGTAGGATCAAAAAGCAAATTTATCATTTTAAAGTTATTTTAATATCTTTGGCTACTACATTAATAATATATTTTAAATTGATATTTAAAATATTTGGCTAATTTTATATGAATGCTATTTGTTTCAACTCTTGGTCTGGTGATAGATAAAGTCAAAAGGTTTTCGAATATCAAGATTTTTTAAAAAGGTCACATATTATTACTATTAATTGTATATTACATCGTTAATGGTAATTGTAACGCCCCGATTCTGAATTCCCATTAATTGTTGAGTCTTTTAATTTATTTAATTGATGTTTGTTTAAATTGAGAAATTATATATTATTATTATGTGGTGTTTGCTTATTTTATCTATTTTACCGATTCGGAGAGTTTTCGGGGAATTAGAGTAAAAAGGGCATTTTAGACATTTAGCACTTAGTGTGAGAATTGATTGGTTAGTGTTGGAAAGAATTTGAGAGGAAAGAAATAGAGATGAAAATAGAATAAGAGAGGAAAAGGAAGAAAGATAGTAACATAAGAAGAAAAACAAGAGAAAGAAAAGAGGAGAAGAGAAAGAGAAGAGAAAGTGGAGAGGAAAACCTAGAATCATCAAGGAAATCATTACCAAAGCTTGCAATCGATCGGTAAGGGTGTGAAACTTCATCATCTCTTTAATGTATATGATTGTATGTGTATGTGTGTGGGTTTTGTAGAGTTCTACTCTTTTTCCACTTAGGTTAGAAGTTGGTTTTGTGAGTAGAATGAGGTTTTAATCAGTTAGAACTCGGATTAGACGATGTAGTTTAGTCGGGTGATGGTTGGGTTGTGCTAATGTGACTGGTTTGGATTTAATCGGTTGGTTGTGTGGAGTTTGGGCTTTGAGACAGCCATGGAAGTTCTGTCTTCGCAAGTTCGCCAGGCGAATGGCAGCGAAACTTCGCCAGGCGAAGCCCAGCGAGCTGTAGCGAAGCAAGTCAGAAGTTAATATCCTGTATTCGCTGGCAAGTTCGCCAGGCGAGGTTAGTTGGCGAAGGTTCGCCAGGCGAGTGGGTAGCGAGCCTCAGCGAGTAATTCCAGAATTACTCCCAGTGGACTTCGCTGGGGAGTTCGCCAGGCGAAGGCCAGCGAGCATTCGCTGCGTGGCTTCGCCAGGCGAAGGTTGGCGAACCTGGCAGTGTTATTTGTTTTGCTGTTTGTTCATGGCATGATGTTTGATTGATTCAATTATGATTAATGCCTATATGAATGATTGATGTGTGAACTGTTTCAACATGTTGTGCTGTGGGTGGCCGAAAGGCGTGAATCCTAGATTGTAGAGTAAATGACAAATCTTGAATATTTGATAATCTTGTGTATTTGCTCGAATTGAATAGAAATGCATTGATAGGCTGATATGTGTGTAAACCATGTGTGGAATGGTGTATAATGTGAATGCATGATAAATATATGCCATGTATATGATAAATGCAATGAATATGTTCGTGAGCATAGTATGCATTTTTGTGTCGATTGATCCCTCGGAGGATTTGCAGAACCTCGTATGATACGATGGTTATATTTGATTCCTTGGAGAATCGGTTGCATTGTTTGATTCCTTGGAGAATCGGTTGCATTGTTTGATTCCTTGGAGAATCGGTTGCATTGT